CAATGCGAGCGAGACAAAAGAACCGCTCGATTTCGCCCAATAAATATCTTTTACAATAAAATTGTCGCCAATTTAATAACGGAGGAAAGGGCGGGAAATGGCCCTTTCCTCGCCTATAGATTCAAAAAAAAAAGCAAATAAGAACTGCGAAATAATACAGTATATAATATAGAAGAAATCGTTTTATATTTATTTATATAAATTTCTGAAGCGGTCAATAAATATTAGAGAAATTTTTCATTAAATATTTATTTTCCTCGTTATTCGTTCGACTGGGCTAACTTGTATCCGAATCGGCAGACTAGTCGCGCGCTTCCATTCCTTCCGCCAACTTTATTAATTACGAGATATTTTAATAAGTTTTGTAAATTACTACGTTCGATCCAGCCAGTTATATCCGAGTTTTTTTCGTCTGTTAAGCGCGTCCTTTGAGGATTTCCTTACCGTGTATACCAGCCTTTAAAAAAGGAGTCGTTTTCCGGCAAGGAAAGAGAGGAAGGCCGCCCAAATCTACCGGACGGGTCCGGCCCGGGTACCGAGCGGAAACCCGGGCCATCGGCTCCCCTCTTCCTCCTAATACGCTATTCCCGCGGTTACCGTTGGTCCGGGAGAATGGGCCGGAAAGTCTTCTCCTCCCGTCACCCGCCCACTTCTCTTCTTTCGTCTTTCCTCCGACAATAAGTAACCTTTCCGCCTTCCACGGAGGAGGGAAAAGTGGAAAGCGCGGTACAGCGGCCGAAAACCTCCGTTCTCCCAGACGAAGGGGGAGAAACGTATCCGAATTCCAACGATTTTAACCGGGAACGGAGGTGGGTGACCCTCCCGTCGGTAGGTAGGACGAAAGGGAGCCGGCAATACCCGAATTAAATCGGTGGTAAAAAATAGACGGTTTAATTTATATAAAAGCCGCGCGTGGCGTCCGGTGGGAAAACTCGTCGAGTTTCGCGCCAAAGGACGCGGACGTCGGACGGCGGGAATTATCGTCCGGCCGCGGGGAAAGCGCCCGCCACCCCCTTCAATTTCTCTGCGTCGCCGCCTCCGGGCGCTCCCGGCGGGAAATTGCCTACCGTCACTGCCGCCAAGTACCCAACTGGCCGCGGCTTCGAGGGAATTTCCAATAAGATCGTTACGCCGGGTTACAATTTTCACCCCATTTTTAATTTATTCGATTTAAAATATACGTTCTCCGTCTGGAATTCGTAGCGGCTTACCCCCGTAAGTCTTACTTTTTCCGGTGGTCGGTATACGGGAAATCCCGGTTAGTGGAAAATTCGGGGGTCGAAACGATTACCCTAGATTTACGTATTTCCGTACAATAGCCGAATGCCACGTAACCCCAGCGATTTACTCGACAAACGGAATACGGCTACTTAAACAAAACGCCATTTTCGTTAATTAATAATAAACCGCCAGCAAACGACAGGCGTCCGGCCAGAACCTGGCGGGTGGACGCGTAGGTTTTATAAAAACTAAAGCGCAATTTATTCTTAAAGTGGCCCAATTATTAGTCCGGGGCCCTACGAGTATCTCGTCTCGAATATCGGTCGTAATACGCGAAATAAGAGAAAAAAAAGGGTAGTCCGCCAGTAAGGTCCGGTCAGTTCTCGGTCTATTATTCTCGGAGGAATTTCCAACTCTTCCGAACTCGTAGGCCAAAACTCCTATATCCCAAAAGTACGGTTGCCAACTACCGAGTCGGAAATACCGTTAACTCCGTCGGTAGGAATATTTTCCAACCCAGTTTTAGTATATAGTTAATCGGGCCCTTCCGCCCCCGAGCTTTCGTCCGTCTAACACCGTTCTCGAGATTAAGGAAAGACTTTTCCTTCCACCCCAATCCGTTGGCAAAGGGCCAAAGAGAAAAACCAAATTACTTTCGGCGAAAAGTACGGGGAAAACGGTCCGTCTTACACTAAGGGAACTCGGGAAACGGACGGAATTAGAAAGAAAAGAGACGACCCGAGAGGACGCTTTACTACTCCTTTCCCGTTGGCTTGGGTCGGACGGCTAAAATAAATATTTCCGTTTCCTACCCGCACTACGGCGGATCGCCCGCCACTAAATCTCCATAATTTTCACGGGGGAACGCAGCGCGTTACACTTTCCCGCCTCTTTTACTCAATTCCATCGTTCTTCTATTAATTAAATTCATTCGTAATTTATCACCACGCCATCCCTTTAACCGAGGAAAAAAGGCCGCCGGCCCGACGGAAGAAGCGGCTCTTTCCCGGGAGACGGGGAGTCACCGCGCGGACCGAACGGGAGTAACGGATGCTCCGGCCCGGAGCGGAAGCCTCGGCGGTCCCACACCGGTCCCCCGTTAGGGTTAACGGAAGAGCCGCCGGCGCCCGTCGAATATCCGGTGGGCCGATGAGATTAGCCCGGGAGCAAAACCGCTTAAAAATAATACGGAAGTGGCGGTTACCGGAAAGTCGTTCTTCCCATTTACCGGATTTAACCGGTCGAGCCATCCCGGGGTAGAAGATACGGGACCGGCATTTGTGGACATTACCGGTTAAAGACGGCGGTTTTCGTCCCGGATATTTCGGCAACCCCTTTATAAAAATGCGCCGTCTTTCCCACCGGCTACGGGCAATTCCTTCGGGCCCGGCAGGGCCAACCCGTCGACTGCCGTTCCCGCCCGCGGGTGACTTTTTAATGGCGGCGGATAGCGAAAGGCCCGATAATTTCCGATAGACGGGAGCCCGGTTCCTTGCCGGCGTCGATCGTCGTCCGTCCGAGGTTCTCCACCTTCCAATACGCTTAGCGTTTATTTACGACGGGCGTTCTCTCCGTGTCCTTAATAATTAACCCGGCGTTTAAATACTGGGTTAACGACTTTTGAGGTTCCAAGTCCGTCGTAACTGGGTATTTCGTCTTCCGCGAATAAACAAATACCACGGGGAAGATCGGAAACCGTCCCTTCCCCACTCCCCATAACCCCGGCTTTTACCGCGCTAATTACCGAGCTTTGGCGCCGAAAATCCAAGGTGGGGGACGGGAGTAAAGGATCGGGTGGCGGGATAAATTCGGGAAATTAGAATAAACCAGGACGTTCCGTTACCGCCAAGTACGGATACCGGAAACTAACCCGGTACGAACAACGTTACCCATACCGTATCGGTGGATGGAAGAATTGCATATTTTTCTCCAAACCCCAATTCGGATCTTGGCCGCGCCTGAAAAATGTAACCGCTCACCAGTCCGGCCGTTTTCCTACGGTGCCTCTACGCGGGGAATCGTAACCCGCGCTCCGCCCCGTTCGTCCGTCCACCCTTAATGCGCCCGTTACCCTAATCGGTGCCCGGGGCCCGGAGTCCTCGGCGTTTCTAAGGGCGGTCAAAAGCGCGTGGTCGGAGGGGCGCGTGCCACGAAAAGGAGCATCCTACCTTCCGCCACTCTCTTCCCATCCCGGACCACCCGCGCCGTCCGGACGTCCCCGCCACCCGCCGAGAATTAAGTAATAGTTGCGCGCCAGCGGGGACCAACGTCCGTCCCGGGTTACTTTCTCTTACTTTTGCGAAATTGGTTACAAGCGGCTACCGCGGACGGCGGAATTCGGGGTTTTCCGGTTGGAGAAGAGGGCGGGCGACCCGCTTCCGACTATTTTAAAAGGACCTGTTTTTTTGTCGCGGGGAGGCGGCGGGTGCGGGAGACGTTCGTTTCCCGGAGTTTAAAAAAACCGACGGTCGTTCCGTCGCCGGCCGTATTTCACGGGATTAGCCGCGGCGATAAAAAGAGCGGTCGTCTCCGGCTTTGTTTGTCGGAAGACAATGAAAAGAGAAAGGAGAGGCGCGGCGCGAAAGAAAGTCGTTCGGTCGAAGCGCGTTTTCTTTTCGGCCACCGGAGGAAAGGAAACTGTTTTTTCTTTTCCTTTCTTCTTCCGGAAATCGAAACTTGGACGTTTTACAAAAGACGAATCCCCGGCGTAATCCGACCAGTTCCTTTTTTCCCCGTTGCTCCCCACCAAGTTTTTATAAACGCCGACTCGCGCCCGTTTCCATAGTAAGAGTTACATGTAAATCTTTCCCGTCCCGCCCATTCTCCGCCCCCCCGAGCCCTATTTTTCCCAGGCGGGAACTTCAGGTGCGGGAGACGACGGACCTAAATCGATGGAATAAACATCGCGCCGTAACGGTAGCCGGGGAGGATTCGGACGTGGCTTTTTAAACCCTCGGATCGTTCCGTACAAGCAATTAAGCGGAGGCGCGAAACATCCTTTAACTAAGAGGGGAATTCGATCTTCCCCGGACCTTAGGAAACAGAAAGGCCGACAACTCTCCGCCGGAATGAGAACAACGCCATCGACCGGCGGAAGCCGAGATTACGACACAGGAAAACGGATAATTCCCATTCCGCGCAGCTCCGTCTATTTCGTCCCAAGCGCGTTCTTTCCGATTCGGAAAGTAAAGAGAAACTTTCTTCCCGGAATAAACAAACGTCGGAGAATAATCGGCTTTACGGGAGGAAGATAACCGCCGGCGTAAAGGACGATAAACAAATTTTCTTAATAAATAAATTATAAAACCCGCCTAATGGAAGGATAACTTTTAACGGGAGACCAACCCCGACTTAAAAAGTCGGTCGACCAATTTCTCCCAATTATTAATAGGGCCGGGCTTTCGCGCCCTTTCCGCCCGCCAAGAGACGAAAAAATTAAACCGGGGGGACTTTAACCCCGGCAATAACTGGCATTTTCTCCCGTTGGCCGGTAGTCGGACGGAAGAAAAGACGGTTCTTTCTTATTTTCCTCTTCCCCTCGCCACCCTCGGCGGGGGGAGAGGCAAATAAGAAACGGGGGTTCTTATTTGCCTCTTCCGGGGAGGACCACCGGGCTCCCACCCTCTCCGTCCGGCCCCAAAACCAAACTTTTAATTTATTACCGGGACCTTTCTAACAACGGCCTTCCCGTAAACGCTCTCCGCCCTTCCTTAATCTCCGGCTTTTACACCCCAAATACAAAAAGCCCCGATTAATTGTATACCGACTTTGGCTCGGACGCGGCGTTATTTGCGTGGAAAAATTCTCCTCCCCCACGGAGTCCGACTCGACGGTTAACGGGAAGAATACGACGATTTTAACCGCGGTCCGCGTTTTATGGCCGGAAAATAATTTAACGCGGGTTTCCGAATAATTGGCCTTCGACCTCGGCCGAGAATTCCAATTGGACGTTGGGAAGAGCGTAGATGTCGACCACCACCGGACGCATGTTTTAAAATAGAAAAGTACTTTAATACAGAAAACGACAATTTCTTACAGTTACTTCGGTCGACCGCTTTTCGACCGGAACCTGTCTAAAACGGCTTTCTTCTTCTCGCCACCTTCCTTCTTCCCCGCACTTTCTTTCTCCTTTAGCGCTCGCACCACGTGTCTCTGCAAAACATTTACGCAATTAAAACACCTTCAACCGTTAAAAAAGCAAATTGCTAATTCTTCCCCGGGGGAGCGAATAATAATCCGATAAAATGACAGAAATTTTCTAAGTTCCACCGTTTTCGGTTTTTATTAGACCGTTGGGTACGCCCGGTAGAAATTATTATCCCAGGCCCGTCTAATATTATGAAAATAGGAAAACGGTTCCCGCCACTACCCGTTAATTAGTACCGCGTACCGTACATTTAAACGTCGTACCCGTTAATTCGGAGGTAAGAAAATCGTATGGCCGTAAGCGAAAATTATGGGTAAGGAATTTTTTCTCAACAAAATTAAATAGGTAAGCGCGCATTTTCGGGGTAACCACTGTCCGCGGCGGAATCGTCGTATTATCTTTATACCTAGGTCGGAATTTTCTGCTTATAACTACCGTTTACGCCTCTGATAATTCTTTAAATATTACGTAATTTAGGCTATGTAATTAATCGGGACCTCCCGCCCCTAAGGTTCCCGTATCCGGTCTCGTCTTTCGTCTATCTCACTCCGTTCCGGAGACGGAGGAAGGACGGACGACGGCGTAAATTTATAAGTCTACAAATTTTTTCAGTTGTAGCCCAATAAAAGCGTATATTTTTTGGATGGGATCTCCGACTCCGTTTTCGCCACTCGACCTACGAGAAGCTTGGAAAAATTAGCCAAATTTAGGCCACGCGGACAGACGAGGGCTAATAAGAATCGAATTTTTCGCTTTTTGTCATTTTATTGCCAACTTAAACATTATTATCTGAAAATATCCGCGCGGTAACGGGATGGCCGATAGGTTACGGATGGGCCTAACTCGGCCAAAGTTCCGTAATTCCGAACGTCGTTTACCTCCGGTCGATCGGGCTGGGTGGGAGAACCTTTCCGTAAGTGCCACGCCGCGGTTAATTAAACGGACGGCGTCTAAAATAAGTTATTTCGGATGTTTACTGGCAAAAAATTTCTCGTATGGCCTAAATACGTAAAAACGTTTCGTCGGCCTAACTCGGTCGAAAAGGAGCCAAAACGACCCAAGTCCCTTTCCGCCCATAACCCGAGATATCTCGGGCAAGTTACATAGCGTTACATAAAACGTGGTCCTTAATTAATCAATTAATTAATTAATTCTTCGTCGCGCGTAAAGCTGGCTTAAAATCCGTAGAATATTTACATTCGTCACCTTTGAAATACGTTGTTTCCCGAAAGGGTTTTGGCAAATGTTTTCGTTATTTTGTATCGGAAGAAAGCTTCCGATCTCCGAATTTTTATAATAATACCCGGATAATTTAATCCGTACCGGTTGGTGATAAATTCTAAGTTTTATCGCCGCATTTTTATATAAAGCGCTAACTCGCCTATCCGTTTTTTCGTTCGACTATCTCGTGGTTAAACGATCGATACTAAAGAAAAATTTTGCCCGGGTACGCGGTCGCTTTCCCCACCCACCGTTTTAGATATAGAAAAGAAAATCTCACCGTCATTAAACGCGGATAACCTTGAAAAGACGAGTGTTCTCGGTGCTAATTTATCCCGGGCAAATGTTTCTTAGTTACATTTACTTTCTGTAAAAGGTTGGAAATTAGGGACTGCGTACGTTCGTATTCGTTATACGCGACGTAGGAAGTAAATGTTTTGTATTCGGCGTATCGCCACATTTCTTTCGTCTAAATTTTATTTCCTTCAAACTTTTGCGGGAGAAAAACTGTATTTAAAGAGAATAGTAAGTCTACGTCACCGCTTTGTTGGTCGGATAGCGCGACGTTTCCGGCAAATAATAAATCGATGTAAAAAGTTCTTATTAAAATTTATAACTATTGTTTTCCGAGATGTCATCAATTTTCTCGTTAAACAGATCCGACGCATTTTTCCTTTCCATTTTTAAAATGTTTCGCTTATATGCATTTATAATCTCTCCCAAATCTGGACTATTTACATTGTATCGACTACTTACGCGGACGGAAGTTGTTCGTTAGCATAATTTCCTGGAATTTTTCTCGGTATTTACATAAAATGAAAAATATGCTAACAAATCATATATATATATAGACTAAGGCAATAATATTACTTTTAAATGAAATACTTTAGATTCAAAATCGAACCGTCGTTATTTAAACATATTTAAATCTTAATGGTAGTAATTCTCTGCTTTGTTTGTCTAAAATCTTTTCCCAATTTTCGAGACTGCGCTGTTTTCACCGAAATACTTAATGGTGAAATCACTAAAACTGCCACCACCGGCGATATTCCGCCGAAACCGAATTACCAACGGAACGAATCTACGGGTTAGGGCACCGAATGACGCGTTATACTAAAGTGGAGAAACTTATTGATCGCCCCCTTCCCCTAGAATAATTTTCGTTATAAACACTGAAAAAAGAATCTACACCGGAAAATTCTTCTACCATCTTCCAATATTTATTGTATTTTTGTAACGTTTTTGGTTATCCTTTCGAATAGGTTACACATTTTTAGTCGCCAACTTACAGTCTGTTAATTATCTATAAGTACGCTTAATTTTTTGGGTATAGAAAAATCTGTTAACATTTTTTAACTTAGAAAGTCATTTATTACACACAATTCGCTGATACTACACAAATTTTTAGCGATATAAAACGATAATTAACACATTAAGATAAAATTTCTAAAATTTTGAATTTTTTTACCGTTAAGAAATTATAAGCGCATCCCAGATATTTACAATATTTGTTGCAGCTTCATTTTAGTTAATTATATTGACGGTAGACGGTGATAAACGTTACTTCTATCAACTGGCAGCATTTTTTACTTCCGTTCCAGTAACATTTAATTAAGATGCTGGTGGAACAACATTAACACAAGCGAAATCGTCAAAATTCATTCCCTTAGACGGCTTGGAGGTTCTACAAAGTGGTTAAGGTACAGTACATAGCAGCTGCAATAAATAGATCAGTTAATGCTGTACAAAATGTTTTTACGAAAAAAAATTATGGAAAAGTCAGGCGTCCGGGAAGATACGCTAAACTGACATCACCCGACAAAAGACAGGTTTTCGAGCTGTTAACGGATGATGGAGTACCACAAGATAAATTGCGGCACAGCTCCCTGTCGAGGTAGCTCGTGTAACTGTATGGAAATGCGCGAAAGAAAATAAGAATATTAAACACTTAAAGACGAAATCAAAGCCAAAATTAACAATGGCATAAAGAAGCTAGAAAAGATTGGGCCGAGAAAAATGTCGTGGACATCCGAATGGAGAATTGTTTTTTTCAGACGAAAAGAAGAGGAATTTAGTTGATCCCGATGGATTTTCATATTATTCACACGATCTGCAGAAGAGGGAAGAACCGCCAACCAATAGGCAATACGGCCAGGATCTGTGACGGTGCGGGCGGCGTTGGGCTGGAATGGCAAAACAGCCATTGTAATTATACGTGGAAATACGAATTCTCAAATATACCGGGAACTGCTCTACAATAACCTAATCACATTTGGACCAATTATAGGAGGAAACAATTAAGAATTTCAGGGGGACGATGCTCCAATTCCCAACTCCAAGTCCACACGCATCGATGGTTTTTAAATAAAAAAATCAGCGTGATCGATTGCCCCTTTAGAAGTCTAGACATAAATCCAACAGAAAATCTGTGGGGCATTTTAACCAGAACAGCCTATAAAGAAAACAGGCGATATCGAATGAACTTAAAATTGCAATAATGAATGTCTGGGACTCAATCACGCTTTAACATTTACAAAAACTCATTGATTCAGATAATGCATTTAGTCTTAATTTAATGAAGCTAAAGGGGGACCAACTGATTACTAAAATCACTTTAAATGTAAATTTTAACTAACGTACTTATAATTTCTTAACAGTAAAAAATTCAGAATTTTAGAAATTTTATCTTCATTTTGTTAATTATCGTTTTATATCGCTAAACATTTGCGTAGTATCAGCAAATTGTAATTAATGATTTTTCAAGTTTGATTTTAAAAATGTTAACAGTTTTTTTCAGACTGCAAAAAATTAATTGTAGTTATAATTAATTAACAGACTGTACTAGCTGCACCATGTGAGGATGAAAGTGCTACGTACTGAAATATTTACTTAAAATTTTCTTTTGACTTTCTTGCAAATTTGTATCATTTATTCACAAACTAGAAATCACACATATTTTAATAAATGCAAAAATTCGTAAAACTTAATTAGTTTTTGCATTTAATTATAAATAATAAATTGTAATATAATATAGATTAAGAATGTAGCGGCATTATCCTGTCAAGAACGAAATGAGGGATGTTTTATTAATAGATGAGTATTCTTATTAATATTTAATTATGTCATATTAGTGGGAAAGCTGATAAATAAAAAACAAACGAATCAATTAATCATAACATTTACCGTTTGGTTGAAAAAGGTCATTAGCCAATGGAAAAAGAAAAATAACCCGGCAATATTTAAAATTAAGCTGCTAATAGGAATACAAAGAATGACAAACTGCGCTAATTATTAAGGCATTTAGAAAAATATCTTACTTAAAATGAAATAATTCTCTAATAAGCAAAAAGATCATGGGTAAATTACAATTTTTTTTATTTATATGTTAATCCCATAGATTATATGTAAATTTTATGGAGAAGACGACTCTAAAAGAATAATAATAAAGTAAGAAAAGTGGGAAAAGCTGTAAAATCAATTTACAAAATATAAATGTTTGTATTTGCAATGCATATATTTATTTCTAGTTGTGGTACGGCTACCCGTAAAAAGTGTCTTTAAACTCTAGGAACCGTTTTTATCAGTAACGACGAAAGTGAAAATTTACAGAGAAGACAATTTTCTAATTTCAATATTGGAATTCTCTTCAAATTCCAAACTTTGAATAATTTTAAAAATGTGTCATCACCGACCCAGTAAGGTTTGGGACGATATAGTATCCGACATCGCTGGGTCAGTGATGATACACCCCAATGTTTAATCAAACGTTCAATTCTGTAACTTC